GAAGTCAAACTCTCTCTCTTCGCAGATGACATGATTCTTTATACGGAAAACCCAAAAGACTCCACCCCCAAACTACTAGAACTCATACAACAATTCAGCAACGTGGCAGGATACAAAGTCAATGTACAGAAATCAGTGGCTTTCTTATACACTAACAATGAAAATACAGAAAGGGAAATTAGAGAAACGATTCCATTTACTATAGCACCAAGAACCATAAGATACCTGAGAATAAATCTAACCAAAGGGGTAAAGGATCTGTACTCGAGGAACAACAGAACACTCATGAAAGAAATTGAAGAAGACACAAAAAGATGGAATACCATTCCATGCTCTTGGATCGGAAGAATAAACATTGTTAAAATGTCTATACTGCCTAGAGCAATCTATACTTTTAATGTCATTCCAATCAAAATTCCACCGGTATTTTTCAAAGAGCTGGAGCAAATAATCCAAAAATTTGTATGGAATCAGAAGAGACCCCGAATCGCTAAGGAAATGTTGAAAAACAAAAATAAAACTGGGGGCATCACATTACCTGATTTCAAGCTTTACTACAAAGCTGTGATCACCAAGACAGCATGGTACTGGCATAAAAACAGACACATAGACCAGTGGAACAGAATAGAGAGCCCAGATACGGACCCTCAACTCTATGGGCAAATAATCTTCGACAAAACAGGAAAAAATATACAGTGGAAAAAAGACAGTCTCTTCAATAAATGGTGCTGGGAAAACTGGACAGCTATATGCAGAAAAATGAAACTCGACCATTCTCTTACACCGTACACAAAGATAAACTCAAAATGGATAAAAGACCTCGACATGAGACAGGAATCCATCAGAATCCTAGAGAAGAACATAGGCAGTAACCTCTTCGATATCAGTCACAGCAACTTCTTTCAAGATATGTCTCCAAAGGCAAAGGAAACAAAAGCCAAAATAAACTTTTGGGACTTCATCAAGATCAAAAGCTTCTGCACAGCAAAGGACACAGTCAACAAAACAAAGAGGCAACCCACAGAATGGGAGAAGATATTTGCAAATGACAGTACAGACAAAAGGTTGATATCCAGGATCTATAAAGAACTCCTCAAACTCAACCCACACAAAACAGACAATCATATCAAAAAATGGACAGAAGACAGGAACAGACACTTCTCCAATGAAGACATACAAATGGCTCTCAGACACATGAAAAAATGTTCATCATCACTAGCCATCAGGGAGATTCAAATTAAAACCACATTGAGATACCACCTTACACCATGTGGAATGGCCAAAATTAGCAAGACAGGAAACAACATGTGATGGAGGGGATGTGGAGAAAGGGGAACCCTCTTCCACTGTTGGTGGGAATGCAAGTTGGTGCAGCCTCTTTGGAGAACAGTGTGGAGATGCCTCAAGAAATTAAAAATAGAGCTTCCCTATGACCCTGCCATTGCACTACTGGGTATTTACCCCAAAGATACAGATGTAGTGAAAAGAAGGGCCATCTGTACCCCAATGTTTATAGCAGCAATGGCCACGGTCGCCAGTCTGTGGAAAGAACCAAGATGCCCTTCAACGGACGAGTGGATAAGGAAGATGTGGTGCATATACACTATGGAGTATTATGCCTCCATCAGAAAGGATGAATATCCAACTTTTGTAGCAACATGGAGGGGACTGGAAAAGATTATGCTGAGTGAAATAAGTCAAGCAGAGAGAGTCAATTATCATATGGTTTCACTTATTGGTGGAGCATAACAAATAGCATGGAGGACAAGGGGAGATGGAGAGGAGAAGGGAGTTGAGGGAAATTGGAAGGGGAGGTGAACCATGAGAGACTATGGACTCTGAAAAACAATCTGAGGGTTCTGAAGGGGCGGGGGGGGTGGGAGGTTGAGGGAACCAGGTGGTGGGTATTGGAGAGGGCACGGACTGCATAGAGCACTGGGTGTAGTTCAAAAACAATGAACACTGTTACACTGAAAATAAATTAAAAAAAAAAAATCCCAACAAAGAAAAGTCCAGGACCAGAGGACTTCACAGGCAAATTCTAGCAAACATTTGAAGAAGAATATTACTTTTCTCAAATAACCCAAAAAATAGAGAAGACAAAGGAATGCTTTCAAAATCATTCTATTAGGCAAGCATTACCCTGATACCAAAACCAGATGGACACCACAAAAAAAGAGAACTATCACCCAATATCTCTGATGAACACAAATGCAAAAACCCTCAACAAAATACTAGTAAACCAAATCCAACAATATACTAGAAACATCATTCACCACAATCAAGTTTTCGTGCAATGCAAAGTTGGTTCAATCATTTTGTGATGCATGACATCAATAAGAGAAAGGATAAAGGCCATGTGATCATTTCAGTAAATGCAGAAAAAGCATTTGACAAAGAATAACATCCATTCTTGATAAAAACCCTCAACAAAGTAGTTTAACAGGAACATACTTCAACATACAAAAGGCCTTATATGAAAAACTCACACAACATCATACTGTTGTGAATAACTGAGAGTTTTTCCCCTAAGGTCAGGAACTAGACAAGGCTGTCCACTTTCATCACGTTTATTCATGAAATCTAGTTCATGAAATCTAGTTCATGATTTATGAACTAGAAATACTAGCTAAAGCAATCAGACAACAAAAAGAAAGAAAAGGCATCAAACTGTTAAAGAAGAATAAATTTTCACTATTTGCAGATGACATGATACCATATACAGAAAACTCAAAAGATTCCACAAAAAAATTACTAGGACTGATTACTGAATTTAGTAAAGTTGCAGGATACAAAATAAATGTACAAAAATCCACTGAATTTCAATACACTAATAATGAAGCAGTACAGAGAGAAATTAAGAAAATAATTCCATTTATAATTACACCAAAAACATAAGATACCAAGGATAAATTTAACTAAAGAGGTGAAAGACCTAATTCTGAAAAGTGTAAAACACTGATGAAAGAAATTGACAATGACACACAGAAATAGAAAGACATTCCATGCTTATGGCATGGAAGAAAAATATTGTTAAAATGTTTATACCAGAATGCCTGAGTGGCTCAGTCAGTTAAGCATCTGCCTTATTTAGGCTCAGGTCATGATCTAGGGTCTTGAGATAAGAGTCCCACATCAGGCTCCCTGCTCAGTGGGGAGCCTGCTTCTCCCTCTGCCTGCCACTCCCCCTGCATGCTCTTTTTCTCTCTCTCTGACAAATAAATAAATAAAATCTTTTTTAAAATGCTAATAAATAAAAATAATAAAATGTTTATACTATCCAAAGCAATCTACAGATTTAACCCAATCCCTATCAAAACACCAACAGTATTTAATTTAATTTTATTTTTTCAGTGTTCCAAGATTCATTGTTTATGCATCACACCCAGTGCTCCATGCAATATGTGCCCTCCTTAATACCCACCACCGGCTCACCCAACCCCCCACCCCCATCCCCTCCAAAACCTTTCACAGAAGTAGAACAATCCTAAAATTTGTATGGAACCACAAAAGACTTCAAATAGCCAAAGCAATCTTGAAATTGAAAAGCAAAGCTGAAAGTACCACAATTCCAGATTTCAAAGCCATAGTAATCAAAATCGTATGGTACTGGCACAAAAACAGACACATAGAACAATGGAACAGAATATAAAACACAGAAATAGGCTCCATGATTATAAGGTCAATTAATCTTCAACAAAACAGGAAACAATACTGTTCTATAGAAAATAAAATGGTAAATGTGGTAGGCAGAATTCTAATTCTAATATGGCCAGCATGATCGCCATCCCTGTAGTTATGCTCTGAATAATCCAGTATGGGTGAGACCTGTAATTTGCTTCTAGCCAACAGAAGATAGCAAAGTGATGAGATGCCACTTACTTTATTAGATTGCAGCATATAGCTAAAGTGATGAGATATCATTCTCATGATCATGTTACATTATTTAAGACTCTGCCTTAGCAAAAGAGAGAAACCTTTGGTTGGCCTTGAGGAAGAAGCAAGCAGCTGTGATATAAACTGCGTATGGAAAAGGTCCCATGGCCAAATGCCTCAGTCCTAGGAAGGAACTGATGTTTGCCACATGAGCTCTATCCACATGAGCTTAGAAGAGTACCCTAAGAGAATGGAATAGAGCTTACCTAACACCTTAATTGCCTTGAGTGAGCATAGGACAAACTAGGACATAGATAAGTCTGCTCAGTCTCCTAACCCACTCAAATCATGAGATGATATAAGTTGTTTTAAAAACTGAAAAACTTATGGTAACTTGTTATGCAGAAAAAGAAAATTAACACCATAATATTTTATATTCAATATCTTGAGGGTACTCTCATTTTCTTCAAATGTATGTTACCTGTTTCTTACAGAATTCAGGTGTATACTTGTCCAGCCATTCACTGATATGAGTGGTATGATGCTCTGGCAGTTATTAAAAAAAGTTAACTTGTACACAAAAAAATAAAGGTATTCCAATATAAAGATGAAATAAAAGGTATTTACCTTTGACTGGATGACATAAAAAAGTGTGGGCTCTATAGTTCACAAATTCATTTTTTCTTATTTGATTTTTACACCTCTCATATATACCTTTTTGAGATAGAGAAGATATTGTTTTACCCATTTTAGTGACCAAAAATACAAAGCTCAAGTAGGTTAAAAGGACTTGTCCAATGTCACAAAACTTAGTAAGACCCTGTTATGACTCCCAGTATGATCTTATTTCCTCCATGATATTACCTGTAGTTGAGTAACCCATGGTGATTGTCATAACCTTGACAATAAACATGCTTGGATTTACCATTTTATTTTCTGGAACTTACTGAGAAAAGTCAACCAATAAGGAAGAACTACCTCAGAAAGAACTTTAATACAGATAAATACACACACATACACATACACATCCCTATGTTCACATGCATACTAATGTTGTCTGCACATATAATTATCAGAGCATATCCTAATTAAATTTAGATGCATAGAGAAAGTATGTGTCTTACTTGGACTTCAAGCAAATCTCCTTTTATTTTAAGCTCTCTGACTAGAGACTTCTTCCTGTTATTAAAAAGATTTTTAAATGTATCATGTTATTTTAAATTGCATGACTACTTTTGATTTCTTTGGTACTTAAACCATTTTTAAATAAAATTCCTCGGGAGAAATTCATATTTTTAAGAATCATAAATCCATATAAGTGATAAATAATTGAACAACATTTCTCAAGCTAATTTCTCATTGGTATGATTAAAATATGGAAGTGGAATAAGGCAAGGATTTTCAAAGTACATTGATCATTTTTTCCTCTATGGTCATCTTTTCCTAAGTTTTCATTTAAATTCCAGTTAGTTAATATATAGTGTAATACTAGTTTCAATTGTACAAAGCAGTGATTCATCACTTCCATTCAACACTCAGTGCTCATCACAGTGTACTCCTTAATCCCCATCACCTATTTGACCTATCCCCTCTGGTAACCATCAGTTTGTTTTCTATAGTTAAGAGTCTGTTTCTTGGTTTGCCAAAAACACAAGAAACAATAGGTGTTGGCAAGAATATGGAGAAAGGGGAACATTTTTACACTACTGGTGGGAATGCAAAGTGGTGCAGCCACTCTGGAAAACAATGCGGAGGTTCCTCGAAGAGTTAAAAATAGAACTATCCTATGATCCAGTAATTGCTCTAGTAGGTATTGACCCAAAGAATACAAAAATACTAATTCAAAGGGATACATGCACCCTGATGTTTATAGCAGCAGTACCTACAATGGCCAAATTATGGAAACAGTCCAAGTGCTCACTGACTGATGGATAAAGAAGATGTGATGTATGTATATAGACATACAAGTGCACTTGTGATGAGCAGGGGGTATTGTATGGAAGTGTTGAATCACTGTATTGTACACCTGAAACTAATATTGCATTATATATCAAATAACTAGAATTTAAATAAAAACTTAAGATGACCAGAGAGGAAAAAAAGATCAGTGCACTTTGAAAATCCTTGCCTTATCTCACTTCCATATTTTAATCATACCAGTGAGAAATCAGCTTGAGGAATGTCATTAATATACACACTGGAACACACACTGGAATATTACTCATACATTAAAAAGAACAAAATCTTGCCATTTGCAATGATGTGGATGGAGCTAGAGAATATTATGCTAAGCAAAATAGGTTAGACTGAGAAAGACAAGTACCATATGTGGAATTTAAGAAACAAAACAAGCAAAAAATAAAAAGGAAAGAGTGTGGTCATCTTTTCTTTTCTGAGACAAAGTTCAAGACTATTTGTCCATTGAATTTCTTTTCAGAATTTGTGAAATTCTATAAAGATTGAATTTATAGTTTCTTTTTAAAATTATATATTTATATTAGGATTTGACTAAAGCAAATTCAAAATGCAAAGAGAAAATTTTATATTACTAAAGAAAATATTCACTTAATAAGGCCACTTTACAATGATCTACATATATAAAAAATAGATGATTGATTTTATATAATATGTATAATCAAGAAGTACAGTTTAAAAAAAAAAAAGAAAGAACAGCCCAGAATAAAGAGTTAATGTACAAATCACAAATCATTAGCCAAACCATCATGGAAACAATGTAAATCCTTTGTCCCTAAAATGATTTTCAGATTTAATTCTTTTTACTTATTCCTCAATATCTTGTGATTCATTCTCCCTTCTAAATCACCTTTAGTTCTTTGTTTTTCCCTTCTCAGCCCACTTCCACCATCATATCCTGGTCTGTCTATAAAACATGTATTACGTAGTGTTATATATCTTTTAGAAATGGTTAATAAGTTATGTTTATGTAACTTTAATTATTTTATACATTACCTTTAATTATTTGTATAAAAAGAAAATATAAATTAGCAAGGAAAAAGATTAACTTACTCTTCTGAATCCTCAGGTTTTCCTTTGTCTTTTTTCTTCTCAGTTTTTATAGTTTTCTTTGTCCTATTGTATGTAGACTTTGTTTTCTGTGTAATTTTATATAAGCCAGAAATAGATAGTTAATGAAGTAATAAATTAGAGAGATATAAAAGATAATATACATTAATAAGATTTCAATTTTACTTTGAGAATCAGTGTGCTACCTTTCAAGGAAAACTATCTAAACAGAAGCAAAACAAAATTAAGGATATAGTCAAAATGTTTCTTATGGCAATTTACTGAATATAAATTGTATATAAGCTAATACATATCAAAAACTTAAGTGCCCCTGACAAATTATAGCCTGCTTCTCCCTCTGCCTGCTGCTCTCCCTGCTTGTGCTCACTTGCACTTTCTCTCTGACAAATGAATAAATAAAATCTTTTTAAAAAATGGATAATTAACTAACTAGGGAAACACTACCAAGTTATAGTAGACACGGGATATTTGTGCCCAGTATCTTTTTTTTTTTTTACCTTTTGTTAAGAAACAGCACCGCATATTAAAGCAGGTTCTGCACCTCCCCCATCTCAAACTGTACTGGTGACATTTGACCTAAGCAAAGCCAATAAGATCCTATCACCTAAAACTTGACTATTATGGAAGAGAAGCAGTTGGAGCTGAGTAATTCCAGAGTCAGTATCCAAAGTGATGGGGGATGAGGGAATAGCCATAAGCTCCTTCTCTAAAAATTCTCTGAAAGGACAGAAGTAGAGGATGTCCATGAGCTCCTATTATTTTGACTCCCAGAGTTGTCCTGGTTCTAGCCTTCACCAAGCATACTGTTCAATTTTCCTTCAACTCTTTGAATTACCATAATACCCATCCAATAAATTTCTTGTGTTATGTAGAGTCAGTTTCTCCGGCTTGCAAAAAAAAGTAAATAAAAGCTTTAAGTGACATCTGCAAAACTACTGATTAAGATTTGGCATACAAGGATAGGAATCAAATGCAGCTTTTATTAAAATTGTTTGAATACACATAAACAGACAATTTTCCAAAGAAGACACACAGATGGCCAATAGACACATGAAAAGATTCTTATCAACATTCATCATCAGGGAAATGCAAATCAAAACCACAATGAAAGATCACCTCACACATGTCAGAATGGCTAAAGTCAAAAACAGAATAACAAGTGTTGGTGAGGATATACAGAAAAATGTACACTAATGCACTGTTGGGGGGGATGCAAGTTGGTGCAGTCACTGTGGAAACCAATATGGAGGTTCCTTAAAAAATTAAAAATAGAACTACCTTATAATCCAGTAATAGCACTACTGAGTATTTAAAGAATACAAAAACGCTAATTCAAAAGATTGGATGTACACCTATGTTTACTGCAGCATTATTTACAATAGCCAAACTACGGAAGCAGCCCAAGTGTCCATCAGTAGATAAAAGGATAAGGAAGATACAGTACACATATACAATGGAATATTACTCATCCATAAAAAAAAGAATGAAGTCTTGCCATTTACAACAACATGGGTGGATCTAGAGGGTATTATGTTAAATGAAATAAGTCAAAGGCAAATAACGAATGTTTTCACTTATATGTAGAGTCTAAAGAACAAAACAAACAACAACAACAAAACAACAGGAAAAAAAACTATTAATACAGAGAACAAACTGGTGGTTGCCAGATGGAAGGGAGGAAGGATGGGCAAGATGGGTAAAGGTGAATGGGAGGTACAGGTATCCAGTTAAGGAATGAACAAGTCACAGGAATAAAATGTACAACCTAGGAAATATAGTCAACATTATTATACTGTGTTCCACGGTGACAGATGATAACTACACTTGTGGTGAGCATAGTATAGCATATAAAGTTGTTGGATCACTATTCTATATACCTGAAACTAATATAAATTGTGTGTCAACTATATTTCAATTTAAAAAATTGGTTGTCTAGAAAAAATAAGTTAAAAGAGATAATTAAGTTGGGAAAGTAAGCCTCCTTTGGAAGAAAACGGCTATATTTGTTATTCGAATTCCTGAGCTTGACATAACATTGACATAGCCATTATCCTCTCCCTACCAACCTATTACACCAACACTCTTCTCTGAAAAAATACTATCTTTTAAGATCGCTTCATCACTACCTTTGTGTGGATATAATATTACTACCATACATGTAATAATGCTCCTTCCACATTTCTCCTTCACATTTCCCCACAATGATTAGAAATGCTACAAGTAATTTCCAATGAAAGAAGTTAAGAGTAGTCATTCATTGATTATATCTTACATATGTAAAGTATTGGAAATGTGGCCACTGAATTTAATATATTTTATTTTCAAGTTTTCATTTAAATCTCAGTTAACATATAATGCACTATTAGTTTTAGGTGTAGAATTTAGAGACTCATCACTTACATACAATACCCAGTGTTCATCGTGACAATCATGACAAGTGCCCTATTTAAAACCCATCATCCATTTAACCCAACTGAGGAGTGAAGCAGTAGTGATGTGCAGGAACGAAGACAAAAATAGAGGTATAATCTATCAACAAGCACCAAAGTGTCTATAAATCAAATAAGAAAACCATGTTGTATCGTAGACCACATATTGAAGAGGCCCAGACAAAAATCTTTGTTCTATAGAGCAGAATAACTGTGGTTTAGAGACACAAAACCTCAAGAAATAACACAAGAATGCAAAATCAGAAACTGTGGCAGCATCTTCAAGACATCTAAAAATTTTCCAAGTTTTTTTAATGTAGATCTAGTGCATGATTAAAGTACTGCAAAATTCCCACACTTGGCCAGACTATTCAATTATTTAATATGATAATTTACTACTCTTTATTTATTTTTTAGTTTTCTACTCCTACTTGGAACTATATATAAATGAAATTATTCCTAACTGAACATATGTGACAGCCCTGATCTTATATTGAACACTTGTGTAGGATCACTGTTTCTCTAACTGATTAAGCAGCAAATTTCCTGGTCCTCCTCCTGCTTCCTCCTCTAGTAAGGAAGAAATATCAAGAAACCAACATTAATGAATTCAAGAGTACTTTCCTTTCTTTATGTTGACCTTACAATGAAACATACAGTTTATGAATTTAAATGGTTAATAAAAATTTATTTCTAAGTCATTTGATGTTGTCTATAGTTTGACTTTTATAAGCTATTTTTAAAAAAGCAAAGGAGAAAAAAGCAGACAAATTTTATCCTCTACTTGGTATAGTGAATCTGTACACATACATTATATAACTGCAAATACAATAAAATGTGTATTTGAGGAGGTGGAAGAGAAGATGGCAAAGGAGTAGGAAGACACCAGACTCATCACAAACACAACTAGAAAACTATCAAACTGATAAGGAAAATCTGTGTTCTAAGATAGCAGACCAAGCCAGCAGGGGAAGGCCAGTCCCTGCCCCAGGGCTCTTCCAGGTTCTTCTTCTGGCCCCGCTTGCTGTGCATGCCAAAATTGCCAGGTATATGGAAGAAGAAGTGTATAAATTATCTCCCTTGCTTTTGCTCAGGGCTCTGACCTTTGGAGATCACTCTCCTCTGAGCCCGCCAGTGTCAAATAAACCTCCTATCCTCCAAGATCGCTGAGTGCCATTTAGTTCTTCTGTCAGGCAATCCAGTCCAGGTTCCCTAACAAAAATCATTCTAAATACCCCAGAAATTATCACGAAGGCTAACAGAACAAACTCCTCAATGGGAGAGAAGAAGCCACATCAAAGAAGTTATGAAGTAGGAAGACATGGTTTGGGGGAGAAACATGATAAGGGAGCAGAAGGCTAGCTAAGAACAAAACAGAAGCTGGCACCCTACACTGCCCTCCATGTGATATATGCGACATTCCTCAGATACTCCTGGCTGCCCTAGAGCTAAGGAAAGGAAAAACAAATAGTGAATTAATAGAGATCACAGTCCTGCAAGACAGGAATCTCCCTCAGTTCACAAATGTCCTAGTGATTTAAAAGGAAGAAGTTTCTTATCAATAGCCTAATTTCCAGAGACCCATAACTCAGTTTCCTGAAGCCCTAACATCACACTCCCCTCCATAAAGTTGAGGGAGGCTGAGGCAGAAAGAAATGTAAATAAAATTGAATTTTTTTTAAACCCACATTGATAAGGATGTGTGATAGGAGGAATGTAACATTCCTCCAGGAAGCTCCCAACTATCTTACTGTAAATGCCTTACTAGAAGGAAAAACCTTAACTTGACAAACAGCAAAACTTCTGGTATTCTGTGTGTCTTCTTTAACACATGAAAATTCTATCAAAATCTCCCTTTTCCTTAAGTGCCCCAACTACATAGTATATAATCACCACCCCTCACAACCCCACTGCAGCTCTCTCTGCCCATGGGTCCTGGCGCCATACTTTAATAAAATCACCATTTTTGCTCCAAAGACATCTCAAGAATTCTTTCCTATCAACCTCAAACCCTAACATCTTCCCTACAACAAAACAGGCTTTTGGTGCTGCGGAGAGGAAGGAGCTGTGGTCACAGAGAAAGGCAAGTGAGAGAGGAGCACACAGGGGAATGCACAAGAAAAACATTTCCCCAAAGCCACTGGCTAGGAAAACAAGAGGGGCAGATTTTCATGAGCTCTTGCATCAGATAGGGCTTAAAGACTGAAGCTTGAAAGGTCACCAGGATTGGCTGGTATAGACCCCAGAGGTCATTGCCCTACTCCTGGAGAAAAGCCAGTCAAATGACCCAGGGACAGATGGTGTGGAATCAGCAATCTGAAGAATCCCTGGAGGCAGCATTTACAGTGATGCCTCTCTGGGGACAAAGGAGCTGACTGGTACCATGTCTCTCCCCCACCTCTCATCATGAACACAGAGCCACCTGAAATCAGCAGAGCGCCAACACTAGCTGCCTGACCTGCTTATAGCAAGTACTACACCCCTGCACTCAGGCACTCTCCCCTTTTCCATCAAGTTTGCCTCAGTCCCAGTGGAGAGGGCCCCTCCCCCAGAAGACCAGCAGAAACCCCTACCCAGAGCACATCTCCCAACCAGAGAGTCTGTGAGGCTTTCAGTTCTAGTGGAAGTAGTATCAGGTC